CACAGAAGTATAAAGGTGTTGGTAAAGTTCTACAATGAACACAATTTTCCAGTTTTTGTTTCTTGCTTTCCACTGCTTTGCCTAGCCTGCTGTAACTAAATTTGGGGTGTGGTCCCATGAGGTCAACATGAAGGACTTCAATGATAAAAGTGGAGGAGATTACATGTGAGTCGCACAACAAGAATGAAGAGCCTCCTGCCTAAACATGTGAGTCGCAGGAAGTCATTCCCTTCTACCCACAGTGCTTCACGAGCTGAGTTCCTCGTCTCCACCTTAGAGCAAAGGCTGAGGGACCAAGACCAGATTGTGCACATATAAAGGTACGTTTGGGTTGGACCATGACTGAATATCTGAGCTCAGCTTCCTTGTAATCCTCTGTCCCTGGTGGGAGGGCCTCATAGACCATCCAGGAAAGTTCTCCGCACCTGGCCTTCCCTTCTCCATGAATGTCCTTCCTTGCTCTCCCTGTGCCAGGTCATCCACTGTCTGTACCCGCTTCCAACCTCACTGCAACCCGTGATCCATTTCTAATGCCTGCCTTTACAAGCTGTTTAATGTCTCCCCACCAGTCAGATATGCCATCCTTTCTTTCTCAGCGACTGATTCATTTAATGCCATGTCCAAAAGCTTCTGTGTGCTGCAGAAAGCCAACAGTCACATTTTCTGTTTTCTCTGTGTGTCCCATACAGCAAGTACTCCCCTGTGTTCCTTTGGCTTCCAAAGTGCTCAGTGGCTATGGTTTCACTGGACACTTAGTTACACATCACCTTCACAGCGTCCCAAGCATGGACTCTTAACCCAAAGAAGGTGCCAACATTCTTTGAAATTACAGTAGAGGGCAGGGCCTAGCCCCTCCTCAAGAGGATGCACATAAACACATACAGGTGCTTCATGAAAACGTCAGGCTTCACAGACCCTCTTGGAGGCCTAACCGTAACTCCAACCTAAGGGCTCCTTTTTAAACTCATCTGCCAGCTATGCTATGAGGTCATTGTGAAAAACAGGGGCTGGGGAGGGGGACTCAGGTGTCTGTCAGTGACTGCCTGAAGTGGCTCCTGACTGGGTTCCAAGTCTCCTTTTGACACCTGTTTTGTGGACTTGTATTTAGAAGAACAAAGCCAACATGGGAAGTACTTCTTCCAACAGAGCCTGTGCGTCAGAGTAGAGACTGGAATTCTTGGCATTCTTGCCCACGTGATGATAGCTCCTGTCTCATGAAACCAACTCACAAAGTCCCACTTCACCTCCAGCTAGGTCTGAAGCAAGCTACCTTTTCTGGTATCGGAGAGACATATGTGGAAACAACCACCTGCCTGTTGCTGCAAATCTTTGATTTTCTTATCAATAGTCCCCAGCTGTCTCCCCAAATCTGAATGTGTTGACAACCGAGCCATGAGAGTGCAGCCATGTTGGGTTACTGCATTGTAAGCAAGCTTTCTCAGCAGCTATGACAGTCATTCTAATGTCTTGACCTAAAGTGTTCTACACAAATCTACCCAGAGCCCTTTATTCAGCTTTTCTGGTGGATCTGAAGGCTTCCGTGTTCTACCACGTGAATGATGCGGTGACAATGTCTCAGAAAGACATCGAGCTAACGCTTTACATAACAGCTCCAGTTTCAACTGTCAGCACATGATATGTGAAATGAAAATCCCTATGTAGTCATTAATACATAATGTCCCAGTCACTGCCTCAAAAATCATTTTTTTATTGCCTCACCAAGGGAAAAAAAAAACCAAAACAACCAATCCCATGACTCCCCCAGGCCCTGTGCTGTGAATCTATCATCGCCTCTTGGCCATCTCTTGGGCTCATCTCCCTGACATGACAGAGTGTAATAGCTTCAAAGAAAAGCAACGGTGTTGGTTTTTCAAACACCATTTCCTGAGTTTGAACAAATGTGTTTCATCACAGCTCTGTCTGGCAGTGGGATGCTTGGTGGCTGATGGATGGTCCCAGCCATGGAGACCTGGGTAACGATCCTGGAAACTACCTCCCTATATACCACAGACATCTGTGTCAGAGGTGGCACAGCACTGGGGCTCACAGAATGGGAGGAATGCATGTTCCATGTGCTTTCATGAGTGGTTCGGGTCCTACCCTCCTCCAAATCCTAGCTCCATTAAGCCCAAAGCTGCTGCTATTGTATGACCCCCCTGGAGGTCTCAAATGTGTTGTCACATATTTAAATAAGGCTTTCTCCATCATAGAAGTTATTGGGGGTAAAAGCACCATCTCTAGTCCCACATCTACAGCTCACCAGCAACGAGGCCCTGAGGAAGAACTGTGAGAGCCGAAGTTTTTGGTTTGAAGAGTATGGCGAAGTTCCTCAAGTGGATCAAATAATACAGGAAAAGTTTTTCTGAGATAATAAATATCATTCAAATGTACACAACACCATAGTTTATTTAAAGCACATTATCTTTCGTGGCAGCTTTTTCATTTTCATTTATTTGCCTGCCGTTTTCCTGGTATGACCCCAGACACTTATTGGTGTTGCCCTCCCAAACCCTCCCAAACAAGATGTTCTTATTTCAAATTGAGTGAGACTTACCCTGTTCCCTTTACCCTCACTCCCTTCCAAACTTACAGCATTTGAAAAGAGGCACTGTGGTATCCTGTTTGGGTGAAATATTTGTCCAGAAAGTATAAGTTGCTACTTTACATTATATTAAAAATGTTATGATATTAGATGTAAGTGGAAATTTTATGGAACCTTTACTGAGCAAAGTCTCAGTTACTTCCTCTTATGCTCCTTCAAGAGCTACTTATGGGGACTGGAGAGATGGCTCAGAGGTTAAGAGCACTGACTGTTCTTCCAGAGGTCCTGAGTTCAATTCCTAGCAACCACATGGAGGCTCACAACCATCCCTTATGAGATCTGGTGCCCTCTTCTGGTATGCAGATATAACTGGAAGCAGAATGTTGTATACATAATAAATAAATAATTTAAAAAAAAATGAGCTACTTATGTCAGTGGATCTCCAGCAGGGGCAGGTCTGTCCCTCTGGGATGTTAGCAAAGTTTGTAGATACTGCTAGAGTCTTGGAAGGAGAAGTTGCTATTGGCATATATTGGGGAGAGGTCAAAGATGCTATTAAACATCTTACAAGGCACAGAACAGCCAAGAATATTTAGGCCAGAAGTCAAGGTGCCAAGGCCGAGAAATACTGACTGCACAACTTCCACATAGTATCCAAGAAGTCTGTGGCATTGCCGTACATGTCTGCATGGGAAGATGGTGCCACCCCTTTCCAATTCACTTAAACTTCATACCTGGGTATTCAATACCTTGTGGAAGGTTAATGGACTTTAGTAATGGCTCCATATTCTAGAGGCTCAGGTCCAGTAGGCGAGAGACATAAGTGTGGACTAACCTCGTGTTGCAGTATAAATCAATGAGGTCAAGAGGGAAAAGTGCTCTCAAGACAAGAGGCCTGGGAAAGATGAGCTCCAGTGGTCAGGAAGACAGGCAGGAGCTCAGTCTGAAGAAGGAAGTAGTGTGGTGACACATGAAACTTCGGACAATGTGCCACGGTGTGCAGAAAACTGGGGAAAGACAGCAGTGAAGCAGAGACACTGTCCAGTAGGGGAGAGCCTTGGGCTGTCCTGGGTGCTCAGCCACGGCTGGGTGATGCATTCGGATGGAGGCTGAGGCTAGCCTTCTTCCTTTTACTGCATCTACTTTTTATAAATGATGGGTCACATATTTCTATTTAAATGTATTTGCTCTGTCTGAAAACACTAACATTCAATGGCAAATCTTACCAATTTTATTCTGTACTTAATAGAAAAGAGAGTTTCTGTCTAAAATTTAATTAGAAAAGTCTTTCCAATACCAGAGCTCTGGTCCTGGTCCTGGTTCAGTCATTAGTAATTTTGTTGTTTCATTTTTTTAATTTTTTAAAGGTTTCTTTATTTTAGCCAGGCAGTGGTGGTGCACACCTTTAATCCCAGCACTTGGGAGGCAGAGGCAGGTGAGTTCAAGGTTAGCCTGGGCTATACAGAGAAACCCTTTCTCAGAAAACAAAAACAAAAACAATTCTTTAGGAGGAAGAGGAAAGAGAGAGACTCTGTGTGTGTGTGTGTGTGTGTGTGTGTGTGTGTGTGTGTGTGTGTGTGTGTGTGTGTTCATGCACACTCGTGTGCATGCTTGCACATGTCATGTGTATGTGCCATGCATATGTAGAGGTCAGAGGACAACTTTCTGGGTCACTTCTCTCCTTCTGCTATGGGTTGGGATTTCAAACTTGAGTTGTCAGTCTTGGTGGCATCCACTGTGCTATCTTGATAACTCCCAATAATAATTTTGTGAGCAAAATTTATTTTTCTAAAAACTAATTTTGGTGCATATATTTAGAAGTATCTCAAATTCATAGAGTCTAGAGATGGAAGAGACCTCAAGAAACCTCAATTTCAGCTAGCCTAATCTTTCCAGATAGGCTTTGACATCATCATGCACAGGGGAAACAAGTTAATTTCTGCACATTTGAGACAGGCATAAGCTACAGCAAATGGCAGAATTTGTTTTTAATATCATACATTTGCTGAGGGGTAGAGGTTTCTACTATTGTCCGAGAGTTGTGTCCAGATTTGATTGCTCAAATATTAAGGGGATAGTCTTGGGGTGTGTTCATTATTTAACCCTAAAAACCATTAGGCACAGTTGAGGGATCCAAGCTGGCAAGACCAGATATGCAAAAGTGACCTGAAGTCAGAATCTCAGATTCACTGGCAGTGACCACTGTTTGGGGACTTCCGTGACAACTCAAACTTTGCACAGAGCAGACCCTTCCCCCTTCTCTTGGGCTGGAGCATGTAATGAATCTCCTTGGGGATCTTGGCTGACATTAACCCCTAAAAAGCCCCCCTCCTAGATTGGCCCATATCTGGGCTCCCTGGCGACCTCCTTTTTCTCCCCCAATTCAGAATCTCTGCCTTGATTACAGCTGGAACATTCTTCTTGACAAAAATGAACTCTTTAGTGTTCACACACTTACGTGTATAGCATTTGGCCCATTCTATATCAAGAACATGCAGAACACAGCCTGGTTTTCTTCCTTGGGATCACCCTGATTTATAATAGCAAGTGAGCATGGACCTGTCTCCGTACACTTCCACCTGGTGTGTGGCTTGGGCTTCCTTTCACTGGGTTGAGAGATGGAGGAAGCAAAATGTGGAACTCCCAAGGCCTTGGCTGCCCCATTTCCTAAAGCAAGCTCCATCCCTGGCATCACAAGTGACTCTGGCACCCTTTTCCTGAAACAAATGAACAGAAAAGACAGCTGCACAAAAGCTAGCTCCTTTTTGTGGGTTAACATAAATGCTTTACGAGATCCTTTTACAGCTGCCAGCAATCATTTGCTCATATTGTGCTCAGGCTAGGGATGGTCCCTTTCTGCTCAGAAGAAAGTCAACGTCCTATAAAACAAGCTTCAGTAGAATTGTTGGCAAGAAGAAACAAGCCTGAGCATGGCTTCTGGTGATTGGTCATGACACCCTTGGAGATAGCACTGCAGAGGGACACAGCAGTGGCTGGCACAGTCCTCCTTCCACTGCAAAGCCCAGGCCTCCCTGAAGATGCTTGGGCCCCTGGATTTGCTAAAACAAGGAGACTTTGTTCCTTCTTCTAAATAAGCTGCCATTATATCCCCCAAACTTCTAGCCCATTATGTATACCCAAACTTCCTAACCCATTGTATATCCCCAAACTTACTAACTCATTATGTATCCCCAAACTTACTAACTCATTATATACCCCCAAACTTACTAACCCATTGTATACCCCCAAACTTACTAGCCAACAGGTATCACATTAGACTGTCCATCACTGTCCACTGCAAGGCATGAGTTTTTCACTGTGGGGATTCCATGGCCGACTGGGAACTGGGATTCTTGGTGTCTGGGAAAAGAGCAAAGATTTTACTGGGTCTGGGAAAACATCAAAATTTTAAATTCCTTATCCTTTTGACACATTGTAAAGTCAGTCATCAAAGGAAGTTCAAACCGTTGTAAGACAGGGACCATTTGTCGAGATAACTGTTGGCAGCTGATTTAAAAAAAAAAAAAAAAAAAAAAAAAAAAAAAAAAACCAAAAAAAACTTATTTAGTCCTCAAAACCAAGCTTTTCTAAGCTTATTTGCAACTTCTAGGGTACACTTTCCCTCTCAACAGAAAAAATAATATAGGAACAGGGCTTTTGTTGTTTATTGTCCCTAAAATATACTGTTTTGTTAGAACATAGTAAAATTCCCTCAAGTTAAAAGCAACTCTAAGAATTACTGATGCTTGATAGTTTGGTCACTATGCTCAGTTTTCATATTAATGCCACCTTCTAATCATCCAACAATTTGCATAGAGATTTGAGTCCCTGAATATGAAACCATCCACAGCTTCCCAGACTGCTGTGCATGGGAACTGTGACTCCCACTAGTGTTCATGATGACACAGAAGCTGAGAGAAGATCAGAAGCTACTTAGGACCCATGACTGACAAGATAGACCCTAATAGCCAGCCGTCACCTCTGAAGTCTGGCTGCTCTTTCCAGACAAACCTCAGTGTGTAGTTTCTCTTCCCAGTACCACTATGTCAATAGCCAACATACTATTTCCTGTGTCTGCTCATGTCATTAAATAGAAGAATTCATAAATGAACTTTAAGTTAGAACTTAGCATTTCCTTTATGTCTTGGAGGGAGTCTCTAAGGTATTAAGAATGGTTCTTAAGTAGGGACTCGGGGGCTTTAGAGTAGGCTGAAGTAGGGAGGATCATGAATAACTTGCTTGCAGTGTGATAGATAGTTTTGGCATGTGACGTGTTAAACGAGGGACCTGCAGCTTTCTCCACAGAGTTCCTGACCTTGCCAGGATGGGAAGATCTGTGGAGACTTGACTCTAGTCCTTGGCCTTATGGATACTGAGTCGTGATTGAAGCAACATTCCTTCCTAAATCTGCAAACTGGTTCTAAAAATAGCTATCTCTCCAGGCCATTTTGGCTGTATAATCAGTCATCACCAACTAATGTTCAAATCCTTACCATGAACACAGCTTGACTCCCTTCAGGACAGGCCTTTACAGCCTCTCCAACCACTGTCTACTTTATAGCCATCTGATTCTACTTGGTTCTCTCTTAGACAGCCCTGTTTTTCCTGTAAGGAGCATTACAAAAGCATTCTTAATGAGGTAGAAGTCTGTGAGGCAGTCATTGCCTCATGTGAGCCATTGCATATCAAGAACATGTCATGTTGGTTGTTTCTCTGTAAGTAAGATTAAGAATAAAGAAAAGGTGTTTCTTTTGTTAAGAAGCCCTTCGGGGTTGTGTAAGAGGCCCTTGAACAGCAAGGACTTCTTAGCAGATGTCACAAAGCATGGGGCCTGCAGGCTCACCTGCTGCCCTTCCTTCACATTTGCTCGTGGGAAACAGCATACAGAGAATTGTAATCATGGAGATGCAAAAGGACCACAATGGAGGTGTGGAGTCAGGTGGCTTAGATTGATACCCAGCTTTATACTAGTCTGTGTTGTCACTGAAGACAAGTCATGTTACCTCTCCCTGCCCTGGGCAGCTCGTTTCTTAGGGAAACATGCGCCAGTAGGTTCCTTAGAGAACCTACCAAGTTGCCAGGTCCTAGTCTTGGTTTTACTGCATGGAGCCTCTCATACATTCTAGCACTGGTACACCTACATCATGTCCAAGGACACCTGACTTTTGGGGGGATTTGTCCTGACCAGAACCAAACCTGGGTCAATCAGTTGCTGTAGAATAATCTTCTGGTACACTCTGAAGATTTGTCCCTCGGATGGGTTTAATGAAAAGCTGAATGACTAATAGCTAGGATTATCAGAACAGAGAGGATTCTGGGAAGAAGAAGAGAAGAGACTCAGAGAGTCGCCAGCCAGACATGGAACAAGTCAGACACACAAAAATGGGATAGAGATAAAAGCTACATGGTAGAACATAGATTAATTTTTAAAATTGGATTGATTTAAGTTATAAGAACTAGTTAGAAACAAGTCTAAGCTATCAGCCAAACTTTCATAATTAATAAGAAGTCTCTGTGTGTTTATTTGGAAGCTGGCTGGCAGAACAGAAAAGTCTGCCTAAAATCAGACTCTAAAATAATCAAGAACCTTCCAAATTCAGTGTTTCTTGAAACACCAATGGAGTAGCCCCAGCTGAAGAGACAGATGCATGGAGAGTCACAACTGGGTGCTATGGAGCAATGGCAATTCCCTGTGTATTAGTCCTGGAGACCACAAATCCAGTTTCTACATGTCAGTGCGGTGGGTTCCTTTGGAGGGCTTGAGAGTAGGTATGCTCCATGCTTTTGAACTGAATTCTGATGGTCTGTCTAAAACCTTGGTACCCTTTGGCTTACAGAACCAGTAGGCTAGCCTTTGCCTATTGCCTCTCCATATGTTCTTCCTGCATCCATGTCTATACCTAATTTCCATTTGTGTGAAGACAGCAGTCATGTCAGATTAGGGACCCTCCCCATCCCACAAATAAGTTAAATTTCATTGTATCTGTAAGGACCCTGTCTCCAAATAAGCTCATGCTCTGGTGTGTGTGTGTGTGTGTGTGTGTGTGTGTGTGTGTGTAGGAGGGGGTGATGCCTCAGCAATTTCAGGAGGACATGACGCAGTCCAGAACACTACCCATCTAAGGGTGTGAGGGGATTACTTACATCATTTGGTGCAAGTACGACAATTTTAGTGCTATTTTTAAGATTCATGCAATCCAAACACTCAAGTCCATTACTGCATCGCTGTACTATCAAAACACTTCTCCAGAGTCTGTAAGTAAAGAGTCCAGACAGCTACTCCACAGTGATTCTCAAAGTTCTGAACACAAATGCCAAGTCCCTGGCCCTCATCTTTTCTTGCCTTTAAGTATGCTCTCACCAAGTGTAAAACAGTGAGTCTAGAAGGCTCCTGTAGCAGCGACCTAATCTAGGTGAGTGTGGAGAGTATTGCTTTGGGGCTGAACAGAGAGCCATGTGAATTAAATGCAGAGAGAAAATCTGGATGTCTCTGGCCAAAGAAACAGATCAGTGACCTTTCCTTTCCCTTCTTCACCCTCTTCTCTCTTACTCCCCCCACCCATCTATCTCTTCTCTTTCTCTTTTAAAAGAACTCAACACCACACAAGCACAGTTCATCCTGTTTCCCCAACACAATGGCTTCTGAAGAACAATTTTTTGAAGTGTAGGTACCATGGTGTTTGGGGACAAAGAAGATGGCCCTGGTAGTAATAGGCTTCTTAACACACTGATGAGATTCATATTTTTCTATTACAGTAAATGTGCCTCGAGTAATAGAACTTACCAGCAGCACTAACTATGGTCGTACTGTTCTTTTATTTCCAAAGAAATAACACTTTCAAAAATGACAAAGGACTCTCTGACAAAGGCCCAGCAACGGGAGAACGAATGACTCAAGTGGCAAAAAGGAACACTCAGCATGGTTAGCTTATTGCCCCACTTGATTCCTGACACAAAAGCAAGTCGAGCCAATGCATTTCCTCATCCTGAATATCAGCTGCAGGCCCAGCAGACAGTCCCTCAGAGATGACCCAAAGGATGGGCAGGAGTGACAAACAACACCGGGAACCTTAGCCATACAGTGAAAAGATGGTTCTCCCACTCATTAGCTGCCAACATGGGTCACAACACTCCTTCTTTTCATCTCTATTAGGAGAAATCTGAACTTTCAAAAGGCAGTTGCTACCTACAGAGGTATCTGTCAGCTGCAGCTCCAATCAATACCTCTAAAGAAGGGTTGGTTCGTGGAGGATTCCAGGCCCATGGTCATGTCACTGTTGGGGACCAGGAGGGGAGATGGGGAGGGGGGGTTAGCAAGCAGCAAGAAGCTGTAGCTCTGTGAGGGAGAAACCTGTGGAGTCACCAGGCTCTAGAAGCTGTGTTAAGAAAGCACTCAGCGGGAAGGGCATTCCTGTGAGCATGCAATGACACAGGAGGGGTGTCCACAGGGAGAGCAGCCCAGAGAGCTCAAAATCAAGGGTCTAGCCAGAGACACTCAGCTCCAGTCAGCCAGGGAGACACTCCCACATCTGGGGACATGTTTTCAAAGTCTGGAGAGACTGTCTCTAGAGACTACACCACTCCCCCTGTCCTGATTCCACCTCTGCCTGGACATGAAGGTGCCCACTAGGGAGGGACAAGGGCGCTCTGCCTCTGGACACTGGCATTCCGTGGAAGCAGCAATATAAATGATTTCTGAAGACTGTGCAAGTCTTCAGTAATCGGACTCTCTGACTCCCTTTCCCCACCCCCAGCCAGACCCAGCCCAGGCCACAGGGTCATCCCTGTGGCAGCTGAGATAGGCAGAAAGGGCTAGACACTGGCCAGAACTTGGAGTCTGCTGGCCTGGGGGCCCTGTGTGCACTCTGCACTGCATTCCATGCTGCCTGCCTAAGCCCAGTGAGAGCTCTGGGGAGAATCAATACTGTAACATCTGGTTTGTAGCCAGGTGTTGTGTGAGTTCTGTTTATGTGGTTATTGTTCCCAAATGTTTATGAATCCTCAGGGAGGTGTGTGTGTGTGTGTGTGTGTGTGGAATCTAGTTCCTAGGTCAAGAGAGTGGAGGGATGGAGCCCTAAATATTGCCCTCAAGGCAGCAGAGAGTCACCAAGTTAGTGATAGTTCTGTGTTGTCCCCCCCTTCCATTCTCCCTCCCCCATCCCTGTGGTTCATCTGTCCCTACTAGAGTTTTCAGGAAGCCACAGGGTTCCTGAAACAAGGTGAGTACAAAGCCCCAGAAAGAAGGTTCCAACCCAGGAGCAACAACTTAAAAAATGGCCCCTGAAGCACAATTCAAGCAGAGTGCTAAAATACTATATAATTTAAGTACATTTAGAGAGACTCTCTCCCTAAACAGGCCA